CAGGAAGACCAACTGAGATCCTGGAGTTGCTAATTAATAGCCAATTAAGAGCTTTCTGCCAACAATGGGATTTTTCTACAAAGGGGAGGCAAGTACCAAATGTGCATGCCGACCTCTCACATTCCTAGCCCAGCTCTGCAGCTGCTTAGTGACATCTTTGTTCCTGACACCAGGGAGGCAACAAATTGCATTTATTGTGTAAGTGTCAGTCTATTCCTTAATCATCTAATCCCCTAACACATTGGCTCAGCTGTGTAGAGACAGCCATTCTGCCATAAACTACACCTCCAGAAGAACCATCCATCTCACCAGCATTCAATCAAAATACTAGTTGGAGAGTGAGATGTATTCAAAGCAGTCATGTACTACCTGCCGGTCCTTCTGGAATGCCTGATAGTCACAGATTTCTTATCTGCCTGCGTACTAATTGCACCTTAAGATTATGTCTACAAATAAACACGCTATCCACAAAACTCTCAAAATGTACCCATGTGCTGCATTGATGCCAGTTACTATTTAAGCTGACAAGTGGCAAGCAACTACATGGTGCAAATCAGAGGTGTGACAGAACATTCTCAATTTATGTCATGAGTACAGATCCAACAACCTCAAGACATTTAGGGTCAACACAGTGTGTAGTGGGAGGAACACAGCAGGTCAGGCAGCGTCAGAGGAGCAGGAAAGTCAACGTTTTGGTTTGGATCCCTTCATCATTTGGCATCATCAAGGTCAAAGCAGTCAGCTTTTTTTTTTCTTTATTCATTCACAGGAGGAGGGCGTCGTTGGCAGCATTTATTGCCCAGAGGGCAGTTCAGAGTCAACCACGTTGCTGTGGATCCGGAGTCACATGTAGGACAGACCAGGTAAGGATGGCAGTTTCATTCCCTAAAGGACATTAATGAACCAGATGGGTTTTTCCCCGACAATCGGCAAGGGACTAATGGCCATCAATAGACTCTTAATTCCAGATTTATCTAATTCAAATTCTACCATCTGCTGTGGCGGGATTCGAACCTGGGTCCCCAGAACATTATCCGAGTCTCTGGATTAACAGTCCAGTGATAATACTATGAGGCCAGCGCCTCCCCTTTGATTAGAAATAGTGCCAATACCTTCAACATTCACTCCCCTCACCACCGATGCAGTGTAGCAGTATGTACCATCTACAGATGCACTATAAAAAACTCACAAAGGGTCCTTTGACAGCATCTTCCAAACCTGCAACCTCCACCACTTAGAAGGGGCAGCACATTCATGGTCACACCAGGATCTGCAAGGTCTCCTCAAAGCCACAAATTGTCTGACCTGGAACTATAATCACCATTCCTTCATTGTAGCTAGGTCAAAATCCTGGAACTTACTTCCTAAGCATGAACTTCAGTCGTTCAAGAAAGCAGCTCATCACCACCTTCTTGAGGTCAATCAGGGATGGGCAAAAGATGCTGGCCTAGGCAGATATATCCTCATCCAATCAAAGAATAGAAAAAAGGGTAGCTCTTCATTGATCAGCATAATTTTTAAAAAAGCTGAATTGAGACTGAAGTGTTCAAAAAGTTGTTAAATGGTGGCACTTTATTAAAATTGGAAAATTAAATTTATTCACTGGCAGTGCATATATGTACTTTACAAACAACTGACGTTTCTCAGTTTCTAATATTCTAGCTGCATTGATAGTTTTCTTTTTATGCAGCCAAAACATTTAGAACAAAAATGAAGTTTGACAGAAGGTATCTTATATTTGATACAGCAGTGTCTCAATTTACTTTGCAACATGCTAAAAATCATATGAATCGCTAAAACAGCTGAGGAGGTTGATGGTGGTACTTTGAGACCAGGACATAATATTCACCTCTTACATTCTGTCCCTCTTTAAGTCATAATAAAAATATTTATGAGGGTACAGACGTAACTTGTGTCATTCTGGCACATGTGGAAGCTTTTATCAATATCCATGATTTATAAGCAATCCAATCTTTCATTCTCCATTTGCCACTCTAACCACAACATAAAAGTTTTCATGTGTTTTTAAATCAGATGCTTGGCAGTAAAATTGTAATTAAAATTCAATGCTGTAAAACTTATTGTTACGTCTGTTTAACTTTTGAAATAAGTAGATCATACAGATTTACTCTTACATAGACAGGTCTCACAAACTGTACGCTGAAAATGCAAATACAAAAATAAAGGTTACACTTGTTGGTTTGTGAAGTCAAATTTTACAGAAGTTGTTCAAAAGGTTGCAAGATGTAGAACATGAGTCTACTTTTGCAAAACAAAGCCAGTTATTTTCCTTCTGTGCCTGAGATTAAAGTTTCTTCTGAAACATTAATCAGTTAAAAGGACTTTTCAAAGTTAAAACTCAGCAGAAGGTGAGAATTCTACTTTTGGCCACCAACAACTTGCTTACTTCATAAGGGACTGCCAAAGAAAAATAATTATCTTGATATGTTTTTATAACAAGCAGAATCACCCAGAGATGAGGCATAAAATTTCTAGTGATTATGGAAAAGAAAATGACCAAAGGTTGTGTACAATACATTCACAGCTATGAAAGATCTGGAACAAGGTTTTATCCATTATATGGAGATCAGAAGGTATAAAGTTTCCTGATGGTCAGAATATCAGTTCTTTTTAATAGGGTCCTGAATTTCAGCTACTTTCCTGAGATTGGATTAGGTGAGGAACATCTACCTAGCCACAAGTAGATTGTTAAGTCAACTAAAAAGGCTGACTGCAACTGGAAGAGTCAACTCAGGCAGAAGCATGCCAAATGTCTGGAGGTGCTTTTCAGCAGTAGAGCAGTAGCTTTGAGGATGTTTAGGACAATGTTATGGGCATGTGCATATGTTCCCTATATTTGACCATGAGGGATTTCCTCCCCACAAACGGTGGTGAAGCTGATGCTGCTCTTTTTAATTCCAGTACGTTGAAACTGCTGACAGGACATCTCAAAATGGACAGCGCCTCTCTCTCTGCATAACCTGAAATGAGAGGCTGCAATGCCTTCAGTTCTGGAAAGCCATTCAGCTTTGAGAGCCTATCTGTTATCCTCTACCGAACAGTGAGCATCCACTTGGTCACTAAAAATTGACTTTGAAATATTGTTTCTGACATACTGGGGTATCAGAATCAATATTTTAATATTGGTCAGAGAACTGACCCAAGAAACAAAATCCTGCCTCTTGTCTCAGTTAGAGGTCAATCCCTTCCTCCTATAAGATCTGGTTATTTATAGCAATAAATTGTAAAGAAAGAAACAAAAATGAAGAAGCAAACATGATTGCAAAAGTAAAGCACTGGATCAGAAACAGCTGGAGACAATAAATCTACTTATAAAAATATCTAAACCAGGCATACGGCACACAATCATCAAGGCTAGAACAGGATAATTTCAACGCATAAATAAAACCTGACCCTTTATTGAAACTGCTTTGTAAAAAACCTCTTTTATACAAGTTGGAAAACATGCACATTTTTGCAAAAGGTTTTGCACACTATTAAGTACAAGAGGAACCATTCAGTCCATCATGCCTGTGCCAGCTATTCGAATGCTATCCAATTAGTCCTACTCTCTTTGCTCTCTCCATATAGCGCTATAATTTTTTTTTGCCTTTTCAGTATTTATCCAATTCACTTTTGAAAGTTATTACAGAATCAGTTTCCACCATCCTTTCAGTCAGTGCATTCCAGGTCATAATAAGGCATGGCATAAATAAACAAAAATTTTCATTTCTCTTGGGTTGTTTTATCAATTACCTCAAATGTGTCCTCTATGTCTGTAATGTTACGACAACAAGTATTATCAAGCATTTTACAGACAAAATACTTGAAACTAGGAAGATCCAGTCATTCATTTACTTTTGAATCTCTCAGAAATTTCCATATAGCATACTGTTATTTCACACAGGTTGACCCTGCACAAAATTTCACAGCAGTTTTGCAGTTTGATTAAAGGCAAAAAAGATGTTGCACAAAATTAGTAGTTTGTTAGAGTGGTGAGCAAGTCACTGAACCAGCAGTGCAGCAAGAAGCTTAGTAAGTGCATGTCAGCAGTATAACAGCTTATTTCAATTATTGATATAAAACATACGAAAGCATTTCACAATGATCAAATCAATAGATCCTAGTCCGATGAAGACGATTACTTCAAGGCAAACTTTGCATACAAGCCCTACACACTGGGGTGTATTACCAGTTCAGCATTATTCTAACTCTATGGAAATCTTCAAATATAACAATGAGCAAGTGTTTTTCTTGTTTAAAATGCACCTGAAGTTTTCTTTAAACTCTCATGAAACTGAACAAAGACCTTTTGGGCAAGGTGTGAGAAGAAAAGGGGAATAGAACATTCAAAATAGATGTAACTTTATGTGGAACACGGCAAAGCCAAACTACTCACTTTATGTTGGAAAAATTATTTTTTTGCCACATGGTGGCAGCAAGCTTCAAAACAAACCCTGCATTTCATATATTTCGATCGACCAGTTCAGAGATGTTACTACACAACCCCGGAGGTGAGACTTGAACCCAGGTCTCCTGGCCTAGAGGTAGGGATACTACCACTACACCAAACGTGCCCTTAAACCTGTCATTTTTAAATACAGCAGCATTGTTAAATCATATGATCTCAGATCAGAGATAATCAAATGGATGGGTCAGCCTTCCTTTTTGTTAGGCATAATGGTATAGTCGAATGCATCAGGTGGCAAAAATATTAATTTTGATGGACATTTTTAAAAAAATATGTCATTCGGACCAAAAAGTATTAAATGTTCAATGCGACAGAAATGGAATATCTCACTATATCACTTGTTGGAATATTATTCCCCGATATTCTTGTATGCACCCTTCTTTTCAAATAAACAAGCATAAAAATTGTGTTAGTGGCAACATCAATGAATTGGCTTCTCCTTCATGAGGGAAAAACAACACCACTGCTTAATACTTCGTGTCCTTTATCAGGCACTTCTCCTTTTGTTATTGATTACTGAAAACCTTACTGGTTACAGTGACGTTCATTTCTCTGGATCGTGGCATGGCTTCTTCTTCCTGGCTCAACGGTGAACTTCCCAGAAAACGGAGTGGTTCGAGACTGATGGAACCATTACTCGTCACATCAATAGGCATGGATCTCTGATTGGAGGGTGATTCTCTGACTGATCTCTCCATATCAAGTGCTGAATTCTCTGCACAGCGTACATCTGGCTGCAAGATACCAAATAACTGTTCATTTAACCATTGACAAGCACATCAAGAAAAATGTTTTAAAAATATTTTAATCTAAGATGTGGACATAATCCTGACTTAAGCCTCCAGCCAGCATTGGTTTGAAGGCGCTGGCTTCCTTCACTCTGAGCTACAAACTACACAAGGCCACAGTTGTAATTACCTCTGTCTGCTTCCATGTGCAAAACTCACACAGATAAAATTAAAGAAAGGGACATTTCCACAACAATATGGCATATTTGGGATGTTCCAAACACAAGTATAATCTAATTACCTTTTATCTCACAATTTCTCTCACTAATGGCTCTTTCTCCACACACCACGATTCCCTATTTCCCTATAAAGGAGCTTCCATATTTACAAAAGTGCTTTTAGCTGCCTTGATTTGTAAATAGCATAAATGATCCAAATATCTTTTTGAATTAATTGGAGATCTTCTGTCCCTACCAAAAGTTCAAGAAAAGACTACTATTATGTAATTTTTCACCCTTCTAACTTTGACCTCATCAGACATTGGTACATGTAGATTAAAGGATAATTAAAGGTCTGCTTGTATTTGCATTTTCTTCAGATGCTTTCATTTATACTACATTTAACACTTGAAGCACCAAAATGAAAAAAGTCATACCTCTGAAACATGTCAATTACAGAATCAGGTATTTACAAATAAGATATTTTCTTATTTTATATAAAACTAGTTCTCCCCCGCCCGCCCGTCTCAATCTCAATTGAGGAAATTACTGTCCCTTTAAAACTCCCACATCCTTTGTGGTGAAGTTAGGCTACCAAGCTTTCAAATTTAGCACAATTTATGGCGACCTGTTCCATTATATGCTAACCACATAATTTGAAGAAGATTGCTGGTATGGATTTTTTCTTTCATCTGCAAGCACATATTTGGCTTTCAATCCTTGAGGCAAGTTTAGCTGGCACAGCAATGTGACAACCAAAGCCAGAAATCAAATTTCAACAGGGCATTTATGGAATTGTGATATAAATTTCTCAATAAAATTACTGAAATAAGTATCTTAATGAGAGAATGCAAAAATACCATCTTCAGCATGCTAGTATAATCTAGCTGAATTGGATGAAGGATTTAAGTAATTTAAGAATAACTAAAGTCTATTTTTATTTTTTAAAACTGTACCTGCTCCCTCGCTGCTATATTATTAATGAGGCCTGGAAAGTACATTTAACATAGCCTATGCTCTAGAGGAATTTCATTTCATTTTTCTGTAAATTCTAATAGACAGTAACAGGATAAACAGATTAATAAAACTTGCATTTACCCCTAACAGCAATCCAAGGGCTTTCAGGATGTTTTGTTTGCAGATGGGGCAAGTATAATGTTCATTCAACCAGGGATCAACACAATGTTTATGGAAGACATGCCTGAAACAAGATAAAACATGATTAGTTTTGAAAGACACATGACAGTAAATGCTACAATGTATTATATAACTGCTTTGCTCCATTCTAAAGCTCAATCAGCAATGTGAATGAACAAGTATTTTAACTGAGTAAACAGACTATTACATTAAGAATGTTTCAGAATAACATTCTTAGATTAATTTTTAAGCAAGAGAAGTTTAAAAGCCTCCAAATCAGGGCAATTTTCACATCTTCTGAAAACAAACAACTGTTAATGTAGATGCTATACAGAATCTGACTGTTGTAGCTGACTGAATCAACAGCAAATTCTTGATGCGACTGACACACAGTACAAGGTGCAAGATAGATAAGAGGTTATAATAGGTAGTGACTGACAAACTAGGAGCAAATTGGCTGTTCATTGATTTCTTCAAAGATGCAGCATACACCGATATTATTTTGAACAGTTAGGCTTAGTGCAATTAGCTTGAATTTACTAATTTCCTTAAGGAACTGAGGAGAATTTTCAAGAATTGTTCCTAAATTAGACTTTGGCAATGGTGTCTTGTCTTTGACAAAAGTTTAGGACTTTTAAAACTTTGTTTACAGTGTGCAAGCATCACTGGCAAGGCTAGTTTTTATTGCCCATTCCTAACTGTTCTTGAGAAAGTACTGGCGTGCAACTTTCTTGAACTATTGCAATCTATCTGGTGTAGGCACACCAACATTGCTGTTAAATGGGGTGGTCCAGACCTTTGACCCTGCAACAGTGAGGGAATAGCAATGCATTTCCAAGTTAGGAAGATGCATGATTTGGTTCGGATCTTGTAGGTGGTAGTGTTCACATGCACCTCTTCGTAATTCTAGGCAGTTGAGGTCACTGATTTGGAAGGTGTTATTGAAGAAGTCTTTGAAAAGCTATTGTGTAACTAGTACACACTCATAATGTGCCAAAGGCAAACTTGAAACTTAGTGGAGGATGGATGCCAATCAGGTGGGTTGTATTGTCTTGCATGTTCAGCTGTTTCTGTTTCACAAAAACTAAGTTCAACAGGCAAGTGGAGAGTATTCCATTGCACATTAGGAAATACAGTGAAGAGACAGTGCAGCTGTATAGATCTAGAACTCAGGAATGAATAAACAGTTAACTGTTGCAAGAATATAGATCTGAGGTTGAAATCGGATTAGGCATAGTTTTATTGAACGGCAAAGCAGGCTTGAAGGGCTGAGTGACCTACTCTTGTTCTTCATTCATATGTTGGAGCCAGGACTCCAAAAAATTCCTGGGGAGCAGAGAATGCGGGAAGGTTGCTGACTTAATGTTGGAGGAAGCCACGAGGAACTCAGAAGAAGCTTGAGCATATTGATACATCACTGCAACTGAGACAGTGGAGGTTTCAAAAGCCTACATACCACACTTGCTGAATGCAACTGAGCAAGAAAAGAGCTCAGGCAAAGATCCAGAGGCAATTCAGCCTGGTGAAGCCAGCTGTCAGCGAAGAGCTGGAGTTAAGGTCAGAACAGTATACATGAAGAATTGTAATCTATTGTGAAATTTAATGAGATTTGATGAGCCACTGTGGGGGGGTCTGCTGTGAAATTCATGGAATCCACCTTGATCACATTTACTATTTGAAATGTGGTTTGGGGTATTCAATCTCATTCTAACATCCATACTTGCAAGATGCTAATGTGCAATAGAAATAAGTCGTACATGTATTATAGAATATATTACTGTTCTAATATTGTATAGCAAAGTTTACTTTGGTTTGCTCAGAATCGTAGAATCTCGTGGTTTATTCTCTTTGCAAGTCCCCTGGATGTCATATTTTGTCTACTTTAAAAATAAAAGTTACTGATTCCTAACAAGATTGTAAATTTGGCAGTCACCTTCAGGTTTGTAATATTCTGTCTTTTGCATTCATGGTCTCAACTCTGTCATTTTTCAGGCTGGAGATAACTTGTGGAACCTTCTCCTCCTGTTATCTGTTTAATTGTCCATCATTCACAAATGGATGAGTGGGGGTTGCAGAGCTTTAATCTGATCCATAGGCTATGGGGGAATGCTTGGCTCAGAATATAGAATCCATTTTCAATGTCTAGCACACATGAAACCAGATGTAACTTCACTAGACTGGCATTTCATTTTTAGATGCCCTTTTGGCTGCTCCTGTTATTCTCATCTACATTTCTCATTGTTTACCAAGAAGCCAGAGCATCATCTGGGTCCAAAGTGAGGGAAATAAGGACCACAAGGTTGCAAATCATGATGGAATACAATTTTGTTGCTACTGATGGCCCACAGTTCCTAAATGATGTTTTGTTTTGAATGGTTAGGTCTGATCTGAATCTAGGCTGTTTCACAAAATTGTAGCGTCACACAAGACAAAGTTGGTGGTTGTTTTTTTTTGTGGGGGGCCTGGTGGGAAGCAGGGTTGCAGGGAGAAGCATTCTCAGTTTGCCAACAGACCTCAATCTCCATTAAGATTGCACAGTGATCACTGTTAATCTGATTATTTATGTTGGCTGTCCCACAGTTTCCGGACCATGTCTAGAGTGTCTGCTATAGATCTTCATATGACTAAACAAGCTGACTCTCAACCCACAGATCTAGAACACATGGGACAGAACGTTCGATGAGATACTGAGATCCAAGGGCAGGATTTGTTTCCTTTTCTTCTGAGCTACCGCTCTGCCTCGTCATTATGCTGTTTGGACTTGAAGCATGATGGAAAAGTTGTTGCCATTTTGAATGGCTCCTAGCAAAATCCTCCTAGTCATTCATGTCATGCTGCTGCACTTTTAGAAAAGCTTCAGAGTGCCCTCAAAACATTTAATTTGTTCTCCTCTGGAACGCTGACCACAAAGGATTGAGAAAACAAGACCTTGCAGCAAATATGGTTCTGGCAATCTGCAAACTGTGAAGACTTTGCCTGTGTGGCCAAATTTCGACCGAACTCCATCTACAGGTTCACTGACGACACCACCATTGTAGGCTGGATATCAAAAAATGACAAGATAGAGTGCTTGGTGGCACGCTGTAAGCTTAACAATCTCTGCCTCAACATTAGCAAAACTAAAGAGCTGATCACTGACTTCAGGAAGCAAGGAGGAGGGCATGCCCCTGCCCCTGACTACATCAATGCAAGTGTGGTGGAGATGGTCAAGATCGCCAAGTTCCTAGGAGCGATAATCAACAACGATTTGTCCTGGATCACTCCCGTTGATGTTACAGTGAAGAAGGCACAACAATGCCTCTTCCTTCTCAGGAGGCTAAGGAAATTCAGCATATCCATAAGGACTCTCACCAACTATTACAGATGCACCACAGAAAGCATTCTATCTGGATGCATCAGGGCTTGGTATGGCAATTGCTCTGCCCAGGATGGTAAGAAATTACAGAAGATCATGAACACAGCCCAGTCCACCATGTGAGCCAACCTTCATTCCAGTGATTCCACTCGCTGCCTCAGAAAGGCAGCCAACTTCAAAGACCCCGCCCACCATGGTTATAATCTCTTCCAACCTCTTCTGTCAGGCAGATGATACAAAATCTTAAACATGTATACCAACAGGTTCAAGAACAGCTTCTTCCTCGCTGTTATTAGACTTCTGAATGGATCGCTCAAATTTCAAATCTAATGTTGCTTTTTGTGCACCTTCTTTGAAGCCATAACTTTGTATTCCTCACTCTGTTCTGTCATCCTACGATCTTTGTATGGTATGATCTGCCTGTACTGCACTCAAAACGTAACTTTTCACTGTACCTAGGTACATGTGACTATAATAAATCAAATCAAAACAAATGAAAACTTGTTGAACTGGCTTCAAGAACATACTAGCCTTTGTTCCCCTATTGAATTTGGAAGATATGGCAGAGGAATTATCTTGAGCACTCGTGTTGCTGACACACAGTCCAGATCTAACTGCAATATAGGAGGTGTGGCGATGTCAAATGCTCTGCATGCTGCCAATTTTGTTGCAGTTGCCTTTGTTGTTTAATGGTCAGTGCTGTAGTTTGTAGAAGATTGGCGTGGCGCAGATGACCTGTTGCTGGATCTCCTTGTCAATGTTTGCCTTTGAGAGGTGGAATATATGGGACATAAAATATATAGATCACTGACTGTCATGTTAGGTGGATCTGCAAAATTTAGATTTGAGAGGAACAAGTTAAGTGGGTTTTACCTTGTACTCTTTACTCACTATCTGCTGCAAGCCCAGACTGGTAATTATATCCTTCAGAGTTCAGCCAGTTCGGTTATCATGGCATACTTGGTGTTAAACACAGAATGTACTCTGGGTGAGACAATACAAAGCCCGTGCTACCATCAGCATTTCCACATGTTCAACATGAGGGATTAATGACTTATCAAACAAGCAAGGGCAGTAGGTGGTAATGATCCGTTGCCATGATACTTCAGAGTCTGAAGTTCATGTTAAGAATCTCAAGATTACTCCCAAAAGCCTGTTAACCAGCTACAAGGCACAAGTCAGGAGTGTGATAAAATACTCCCACTTGTCTGAATGATTGCAGCTCCACACCACCAAAGCAGCTCAATTCATGCAAGACAAAACAACACATTCAATTGGCACCCATCTACCACAGTAATCATTCATTCCTTCCACTAGTAGCCCACTTTGGTGGCAGTACCTGCTATAAAATGAATATAGCGACTCAAGATTACTTTGATATTTCCTTCCAGACCAGTGACCACTACCACCTAAAAGGACAGGGACAGCATGTGCATGGAAACACCATCAATTGCCACCTCTCCTTCAAGTAATACAACATTCTGAACTTGGAACTATATTGCTGTTTGTCCACCATGGTCAAAAACCTAGTATTTCCTTAACAGTACTGTGGGTGTACCTACAACACAAGGGGCGACAGCTTATCAACATTCTGTTGGACCAATCTGGGATGTTGGCTGATGTTATTTAATTTAGCCTGTGGAATAGCTCTTGTAACTTTGATGCAAATCCCCAGTTGCTTGAGGGGAAGACTTTACAGGGGCATGTGA